ACACACGCACACACGCACACACACACACACACACACACACACACACACAAACACACACACACCCACACCCCCACACACGCACACACGCACACACGCACACACCCGCACACGCGCACACGCGCACGCGCGCACACGCCCACACGCCCACACGCGCAAACGCGCAAACGCGCAAACGCGCAAACGCGCTAACGCGCACACGCGCACACGCGCACCCGCGCACCCGCGCACCCGCGCACCCGCGCAAACGCGCCCACGCGCGCAAACGCGCAAACGCGCAAACGCGCACGCGCGCACACGCGCCCACGCGCCCACGCGCACACGCGCACACGCGCCCACGCGCCCACGCGCCCACACGCCCCACACGCCCCACACGCCCCACACGCACGCACGCACGCACGCACCCACACACCCCCACACCCACACGCACCCGCACACGCGCACCCACACCCTCACACACACGCACCCACACACACAGACACACGCACGCACGTACGCACACACGCACCCACACACACGCACCCACACGCACGCACGCACTCCCACACACACACGCACGCACTCCCACACACGCGCGCGCACCCACACACTCACCCACACACACGCACCCACACACACGTACCCACACACGCACCCACACACACACGCACCCACACACACACGCACGCACCCACACGCACGTACGCACACACGCACGTACGCACACACGCACGTACGCACACGCACGCACACACCCACACACCCCCACACACACACACAAATAAATATATGACAGTAGTAATAGGTCGAGGTGGAGGCCGCTCTTGGGTATGAACTCTAAGTGTATTAAATATAGAGTGGAGATTAAAAGTGTAACGTGCCTGCTNACACACACACACACACACACACACACACACACACACACACACACACACACACACCCAGTACCGGCGCCTTAAGTAACAGTACATGCCGTGACAACCTTAAAACCAATCTCATCTAAAACAAAGATCATCCAAAGAATACGGTAAAAATTCTTTTAATCTAATGCTCCATGATACAACAGTATGATACTCAGTTGGTGGAAGGTATAATCCATAGAATCACTAGAAACTTTCTTGATGCAACAAAAAATCATCTAAATGAAGATGCCATTCAAATAATGGTCCTCACCAAATTACAAAGAGATTAAAGAGAGTGTACAACAAATTTAATTCATAAAAATTAAAATAAAACTAAATTAGATATTCTTTGAAAAACAATTATTATATGAAAAATAGAACCACCCCGCCTTCAAATATTTGTGCAAAAAATTATACAGGGTGTTTTCAAAAGAAGTACCAGTCAATCAACAGCTATCACAAAACACGTTTTGCATTAAAATGACCTTAGTAAAATGTTCATGCCTTAGGAGATACAGCCTTCCAATGTTTCCAAAAATATATGGAATAACACCTGTTATTTGGAAATCAAAAAAAGGTATAACATTCAAATTTTACACACATTTTCTACTAATGCATGTGAACTACGACAATTTTTCGAAAAGTTGTTCCCCTTGGAGGGCGTTGAAATAAGCACCCCCTAAGTATTTTGCCTGACAAAAATTGAATATTTACAATTACGGATCAGATAGCCTAGTTTATTTTAAGATTTTTACCTCATTTACTTTTTTGCTTTAAAACTTGGCATTACAACTCGCATGATTGGAACAAAGAAATATTTAAGTAGGCGGCTGTTACCTAATTTCTGTCATTAGATCTTTTAAGACTCTTGCGAGTACTTCCTTGGATTTACCACTCAATAATTTTATGTTTGGGAAGAATAATGGCAAACAATTTTTCTGTTGATGAATATGTTGACATGTTGCAAGTACATATTTTTTGAATGTCGGAAAAACTGTACCGCAGCAAGAAGAATGTGCCAGGCATCCAAATCTATAATGACAGAAATTAGCAAGACAGCCGTCCATTTAAATATTTCTTAGTTGCAATCGTGCAAGTTGCAAGGCGAATAACAATGAATGCAATTTTTTGGTTAATAAATGGTTAGTTTTAAATAGTCCAGGAAAGTTAGACATAAAAGACTAGGAACCAATATCTCAGTGAAGATGCATTTTTTCAAAAAAAAATCAAATAAAAGTTCAAAATTAACCCCGCCGGAATCCTTATGTAAATTGGCTTTCGGTCAAACAGTTTGAAACCAGGTGTTTTTTGTGGCTTTTGAGTGGTAGATTTAAAGTGTCAATGGGCGTCAAGCCCTAAAAATTCATGGTTCAAAGTTGCAGCTCGCTGAAGCTACAATATTTCACTACCTGCATGGTATAGTAAAAAAATACTACATTTTTACTCAATGCCCAATAAACTATCGCCGATATATCGAGATCTCTGACTGAAAGGGTTAAAAATGATATTGAGATGATATTTCAGATCACGATCAGTACAATCGATTTTTCACAATCATTATCGTACAATAAAAATCATAGCGATTGCTGTCTGCATTTGCGTGACGTGATGTGCACCACGGGGAGGTTGCTACAAGGATTCCGGCGGAGTCCTTTCCTACAAAATTTGCCTTATGAAAAAATTCGATTTTCCCAATAGTTTTCCCATATATTTTTTAATCGAATTACATACAGATTGTGAAAATTAATGTTTTGGAGCCAAAATATTGTTCAGTTCATTTTTAAATAACAAACGTGAATTAGAGAAAAGAAAGTTGTGGAAAATTCTTGGAAAATCTTATATAGTGTCCAATACAGCATTAATCTGAAACCCCTACAAACCAAACGTTTCATGATTCTATGCATTTCTTATATACCTCGATTTCTGGCCGATTTTTTTGAGGTTAGAAAAAAATGAGGTATGCTGTATGATTTCTAAAGGTGGATTTGGATTCAGCGAGCCCAATTACATATAGCTATGCTAACAAATGTGAAAAATATATTTTTTTATTGTTTTTTCTCATACTTCTTCGTCTATTTTTGCTATTTTTTACCTATTTTTGAGGTTAGAAAAATAATGTGACGTGTTAGCGCAATTCTTACAGTGGATTCGGATTCAGCGCGTCAAAATACTATAGGACATACTAGTTTGATTAAAACCATATGTCACTTTTTTTGTGTGTGGCTTCTTATGTATATTTCAATATTCCAGAGTATTATTAAATATTATTCACATTGTTTAGGAAAAATCCACATTTTATTGGCAATATTTTCAAAATTGTCAAAATAATCACAATGCATGCGTCGAATTTCACATAAATCAAATAAAAAGGTAACTTAAAGTAGTGCCAACATGACAAAAATTATTTCAATAGTTACCTTGTTTCAACCCATAAACTACTAAGTGACACTGAAAAATTATGTACACAATAAAAGAGAACCCTTGCAACACGTGCATCTTCAAATCTCAAGTTAGAACTGCGAAACACATTACCCATCATCGCTATTAATGCAAAACGTTAAAAATATTCAGATAAACAAGTTTAGTTGATTCCGATAACTAGAATTCTATCAAACATGAATACATACAGGGTGAACCTAAAAATAGGAACAAATTCCAATTTTTATATCAAATTTTTGAAAGAGGTTGATAAAATTGTTTTATTTTATTTCTACTAAACGGTTTAAAATTAAGAAATACAATTTTGTAAAATATTTCACATTTCAAGTCCTTTCAAAATGAGAATTTTTTATTTCCTCATATGAAATAAACTGCTCTGATGGAAAATATAAAATTTTCCATCAGATATTGTTTTTTTTAATTGGAAAATAGTGTTACTTTTGTGGCTATTAAAAAAAAGACACTTTTAATAAAACATGCTATTTTTTCTCCAATCGAAATCCCCTATTCAATAATTAATTTCTGCTTTGAAATTATTCAAATTTAATTTGGATAATAAATCAAAGTAGGTAAGTAGGATATATCGATATAATCATAGATACTTTGTCAAACATTAGTCGCCGTATTGATTGTTTGTGGTTCAATTTGCTGAAAACTCTGTAAAAATGGAATCTAATGAAGATTTGGGTGTACCTGAGATACTGGAGTGTGCGAAAAAGGTTTCTTTGAATCTTCTCCGAAAGAAATCTCGAGAAATTTATATACATATCAACGTTTTATGGACTGGTGCAAAGAAAAACAGAAGGTGTATTCAGAAGATGATGGTGCATTTTTCAAACTTAGCAAATAAAAAGAAGCCGCCAACGCTTTTGTCGCAATATTCAATGTTGCGGTCAACATTTGGTCCTAAAGAAGGGGATTGATATAAGCAAATATTCAAAGTTAGGTGCGTTTCTCAAGTATTTACAAAGGGGCAAGTTGATTGCTTTTTGAATAGGGCACCTGATAATTTATATCTGATGATGAAGGTAAACGATATAAAAGAATAAAATTTTTAAAAAGCTTCTTTAGGTCGTCCTAATATTGGGAGTTGCAGGCGCATACCGTTCTGATTAATGAGTCAATTTAACAATTGATAATGTTGAAGATGTGAAAAGAGACCACGTTCTTTTACTGTGCTGGGAGACAAGTTTTTATCGAAAACATGTTTTATATGGTAGTGGAAAGTGTCATCGAATGGTGGTCGCCGGTCGGTATTCATAAAATCAGTGCCGTCTCGCAAGAAGTGGCAAAATTGTTGAAGCTGGACAACTGGAAAGAATACAGTACAGAGTACAGTACAGTACAGTACAGTACAGTACGTATTACCACGAACGTCTGCTACCCTTTTTGTTGACGGTGATGCCGACCTCACTTGTCTTAAAAGACACAGAGAATGGAGATCGAACACTGTGGCGGAAGACTACATTGAAGACTCACTTTTGAATAAAGAAAATATTTATTTATTTAGTTTCATTGCCCAACAGATTACTCCAATTACAGGACAGTATGACTACACTATAGTATATAAATAACAAAGATAGATACAACACAAGACATAATTAAATGTACATACAAGAATATAACATCAGGTTACAATGCAAAGAACAAAAGCAATTGGTATACTACATTATGTAAAACACTTACGGTTACTGCAAATCTATCCAATATGACATTTAACCCATCGAAATTAATATCACCTGTACTGGAAATCATATTATAAAAAGGTGATTTAATCAATAAATCTGAATTAGCATGTAGCAAGTGAAAAGTAGAGGGCTGCCGAGTAAACAGGTGTAAAATTAATAATTTCTGCAATAAATCTGGTGAATCAATTCCATTGTGTTAGCAAATAGAGGAATTTCAGACTTCGCCGTATTCTGCAAAGTTCAAGTTTTAAAATGAAGAAATTTAAAAAATGTCCTTTATACTCTCTCCAGGTTTAACTTGTGTAGGACGTTGTAAATAGGTGTCCATATTATACTGCAATATTCCAACTTAGATCTAACATACGAGTAATAAAATGCTTTAAGGGCTTTAACATTATTAAAGGTATTACAGTTCCTAATGATAAATCCAAGCAGTTTCTTTGTTGAAGATTGTGTATTTTCAATGTGAACTGAAAATATCAGCTTCTTATCAATGGTAATCCCTAAATCTTTAACAATGTCACATCGCTGCAAAATGCTTGAATTAAACGTAGGTATAACAAAAAGACGCAAATGCTTGTCTCATCGTATAAGTCATAACCTTACATTTTGATACATTCATGTTGAGATTGCTAATCTGACACCAATGTACAATTTTATTCAACTGTTTCTGGATGCTAATGCAGTCAGATACGGTGTCAATTTTAGAGTAAACTCAAAGCAACATCAAATAGTGACAATCAACAATAGAACACAAGTCATTTATAAAGAGCAAAAACAGAAGTGGACCCAGATTAGAGCCCTGCAATATTCTCGACACTGCTAAAAAATCACTAGATCTATAACCGTTGTAAGCAACATATTGAACCCTGAAAGATTGCTGAAAAAAAAAACAAACTATTGTAAATGGAAAAATAAAATCAGATATTTGGTAAATCAATTATTTTATTCATATCTGAAGATAGTACTAATAAATACGGTTTTATTAATTGTGCTAATATATGAAATCAACAAATCACAATAATTTAAATACCACTATTAAAGTTATTCTAGGAATCTAACTTCAATTTTGTTGTGTAACAAACCTTTCGCACCACCGCCACCGTCGCGTCGTACGAGCGACGGTAGGACGGGGCTATATAGTAGAGAGTAGTAGCATCGCGAGCAGAAAGGAGACGTGTCGACGGCGATATGTTTACACCTGTTGCTCTATTTGTAAAATTATTTTAGATACCTTTGATTATTAATAGGTATGTTCCAACATGAGTCAGGAATTGCTTCCGAACTGTTTGAAATGTGCATCCAACTAATTCTTGCGATATATTCAGTGAAGACACATTTAGAACTTAGCTGGCCAAACATTTCAAACGGCTGGGAACCAATCCCTGACTCTTGTTGGAACAGACCTAATGTCAATGTCAATAAAGTTAGATGTTCAGTCAGTGCCTTAATTAAACGTTCGCAAAAACAAATCCATGGCCCCTAACGAGCAGCTCCCAGTTGTTCTGCTATAGTTGGACATTATTTTGGGTGTCAGATATTTCAAATTAACTAAATATGATAATATTGCTATTTTGGAAACCGTCAGTTAAGTTGAGGCAAAACTGCATCAATTTCAGCAACATTAATTTCCGGGAAAGGAAAATAGAAAATGTAAAATTTTTGTGTTGTCTTTTGACGGGCTTTAAAGAGCTACACCGAAACAGGAAATATATTTATTAAGGCCAATTTCGCTTCTCTATTGTACAGGATGGTTGATATTTGTTTTAACTTGTAAAAGTCATTAAAAAATTCAAATTATTTTTGATAACATTTTTAGGTCATTTAACTACCGCTGGTAATTTATTACGCATTATGTGCATCCATGAAACGGCGATGAACTGTTCAAGTTGCGGTGGGGACAGGCGACCCACGCGTAAAAAAAATATTGAAAAAAATATATTACTAATTGAAAAAAATGCAATAAATGACTTCTCCTCATCTTCGGCTAAATGGAACATGTCACGAAAAGTATTTACATTGGTACAAAACGTTTCAGTTAGTCTCGTTTTCAAAGGGCCCACAGTCTGCGACACCGCCAAGCACAAACGCACAGCGAAAAGGACGTTTATCTCTCGAATGCGAGATTGAGTCTATATGCCTACTAGTCGCAAACCTATCTCGCGCAAAATTTACTACAAGAAACCATGCAAAAAATTAAAAGAAACGAAATTTGAATGCAACTAATTTTCTACGAATTAACAAGCTTAAATATTACAAAAAATTAAGAAATAATGAAAACTAAACACTAATGTTGAAGTTATGTCTGTTATTTAATAATATAAACTAATGGAAAATTATAGTTAGCTGTTTATATGCAAGGGAATTTTACAGCCAACTGTTTCAACCAAATTTGAAGATTGGTTAGATAATACAGACTGACAAAATTTGGCCAACCCTTTAACCCAGAAATCAGAATGTACTTTTCCGAAGGATTTTGGTGCGCTGAATTCGAATCAGAGATTCAAATTTCTAAATTGGCTGTGGTTTTTAAGATAGTCTAACCTAGAAGTGCCAAAATCGCGAATTGTTTTATATATTTGAGGTTATGTTACATGGATAGGTAATTTTGTTTGATAAAAACCATTAGTGAGGTCTTAAAGTAGATACTATATTTACTATTTAAAACTCACTTGGATTTATCCCAATATAATTTTTCACCTTTGAGAAATCGCATGTTGAAATTTAGTAGTTTAACTTATTTCTTGATTACTGACAACACATCACCACAAACCTTAATTCATCGCACCCAGAAGTAGGGTTCTTACATGTTTTTGGAGTCGTTGATCATGAATCTGAACTCCAAAATACTCTATCGCGTCAAATTTTACAATAAACTTAAAAAAATATCTAAAAATTCGATATATGACCGATATTTTACGCATTATATGAATCTGAAAATACATTTACACACAAAAGAGGCTAATCCCGCTCAATCCCGAACTCATAAATCCTAAGCCCATAAACCCATAAGATTTCTGGTGCTGTGTTGTGAGTATATTAAAAATAAAAAAATAAGTCAAACTACTAAATTTCAACAAGCCATTTCTCAAAGACGAAAACTGATTTCGAGATACATCCGAGTGCGTTTTAAAGAGGATTATATATAGTATAGTACTTTAAGACCCCATTAATGGTTTCAGTAAAAGAATTTACCTTACCATGTAATGTCAAAAAATCGCGATTTTTGCACTTTTAAGTTAGGATATCTCGAAAACCAGAGCCAATTAAGAAATTTGGACCTCGGATTCGAATTCAGCGTACCAAAATCCGTTGGGAAAGTATATTCGTGTTGTTAGGTTAAAATCTTGTCGGCCTATGTAATATAAAGGATTACGCACACAGTTA